AGGTCGATCCTGGGGTGACTGTGAGCATGCCACTGCACTCTAGCTTGGGTGACAGAGTGAGACTCCAACACACACACAAAAAATTCCCATTCTTGATTTCTTTCTTTTTTTTTTTTGAATTGGAGTCTCAGTCTGTCACCCAGCTGGAATGCAGTGGCACACTCACGGCCACTCCAGCGTTGACCTGCTGGGCTCCGACAATCCTTCTGCCTCAGTCTTCCAATTACCCGGAACTGCAGGCACGCTACCACGCATGGCTAATTTTTGATTTATTGTAGAGATGAGGTCTCACCAAGTTGCCCTAACTGGTCTTGAACCCGCCGGCTCAGGCAATTCCCTTACCTCGGACTCCCAAAGTGCTGGGATTACATGCTGAGCCAGCGATCCTGGTTCTTGATTTCTTTTAAGAAAATAAATTGCTTAGAAATTTGATAGTAAATCCACCAAGAAATTTTTACAGTTACTATGGTTATTACCAAGTTCCTCCAAGCATTGGAATGGTGTGGAACTCTTATCTCATCTCAGGGTCTTCTTTGGGTTCAACCCTATGATTCTCTGTATCATTTCAGAGGCCACCAAGAAAGGAAGTAAGAGTTTTTTTCTTGGATGGAACAGTCTGTAGGGAGATGTGGGTTATGTCTTATCCCTTCTACCAGACCACTCATCTTTTAGAGTGCTGGATTTGTAACTTATACCTATTCTGTGCTAGTTCAGTGCTGTGTACATAGTTGACACTCAATATGTGTTTATTGAATGAAAGAAAGAATGTGTCAGTGAAGTAAGGACATTAGCAGATATGCTTTTGTATATATATGGGCATTTTCATTTGTAAATAATGTTTTTAAGGATCTGAAAGCTCGGATGCAAGAGGCCATGACTCAGGAGGTGTCAGATGTTTTCAGTGATACCACAACTCCTATCAAGCTATTGGCAGTGGCAGCCACTGCCCCACCTGATGCACCCAATAGGGAAGAGGTGGGTGTTTAAGGTCTTTCATGTTTTCTGTTGTCCTATAGAAATATAAAGGTAAAATGTGATTACAATGTATATCAGGAGCAGTGGTTGGGAAATTGTGGGTGAAGGGTGGAAGAGTAGAAGTGGAGAAAGCCCTGCCATCTCTTCTTTAAGTCCCCAAGTATATCAGGACTGTCTTTAGTTCAAGCAACAGAGGACCTGACCATCAGCCCTGAAAACAAATGGGGTTCATTCCCATCACAAACCAAGAAACATGAAAGTAGGTAGCTTTGTCATTGGTTCAGCAGCTTGACATCTTTCTTGGTCTTTTCCTCAAGGTGTGGGGTGGCTGTCATAGACAGGCATCAGGTTAAAGGCAGGAAGAAATGAAGGATGAGGGTACTCCAGTCACAACTGTCCCTTTTCTTAGGGCTCTTTATTCTCAACACAGATGTCAGGACAATCTTTTTAAATCATTTGATATCATTCTTTTACTTCTACCCCTTCCAATGACTTCTCCCTGTCCCAATGAAGCTTGAGTCCTAAGAGTGAACAGAAATGCCGGTGATATGCTGTTAAACCAACTCTCCAGGAAAACAAAAACCCTGGCTTGTACTGTTTTGTTAATTTCCATGGTATAACTTCTCTTACCATGTCTGTTTCAATGTGAAATCACTGAAAGCAGAATTGGGAAGAGATAGGGAGCGCTTGTAAGCTGGTGTGAGTTGGTACAAGTGGCTTCAGCACGCCATTGAATCTGGCCCCCATCTACTTCTCTGAACTCATGTGTTACCACTCTTTCCCCTCATGATCCTTTATCCATATTGATTTCATGGATTGTAGTCCCTGTGTATACTTAATGCATATACGTTCTAACCGCTAGGCCTTTGTATTTGTTCTCTCTGGTCTTCCCATAGATAACTATATCTATTCACTCACGTTCTTCAGCCTTCTACTGAAATGCCACTTTTAGGATGATTGCCTAAAAGAATAGTCCTGCCCGCCCCCCCCCCCCCCACAGGGGTTTCTTAATCTCCAAATCTCATTTTTCTCCTTAGCGTTTGTTAACATTTAACATGTTTGCCTCTTTCTTTGTTTGTCTGTTTCCCTCACATTAGCACGAACACCTCATGCAGGCAGGGGTTGTATTTTGTCATTGTCTTATTCCCAGTTCCTAAAACAGTGCCTGCCACATCGCTGGTACTGTATGAATGGAAGTCAGGGCGTTTCCAAAAATTCTCCAGGTGAGCTTTGCTTGTGTCTCATTGGCTAGAGCTCCGTCTCATGGTTTCCCCAGCTGCAAAGGAATTTAGGAAAGCAAGTATTTGGTTTTTCTGCCTTTATAATTTTGGCATCATAGGAGAAGGGGTATGTGTCAGTATTCTACCCAAGACAATGCAGAACTGGTGAAGGTGAAGGTTTGTATTATTCTAAGCATGTAAGAATAATACAAACCTTCACCTTCACCGGTTCTGGGTTACTAGTCAATTCAGCTCTTAGTCCCTTAGGCTGGAATGCTTTGCTATTTTTTCATTTCAGACTTCTCTGCCTTTCCAACTAGTAGATCTAACTATGCTGGTCCTCTTTACCTAGATGCTTCATAATTATCTTAGCATATGTTGTCCTTCTGTTTGCTCTTGGAAATTTGTGAGTTGCCATTGACTTTCCCCTTCCTCTCATCTTTTTATACTAATAAACAATTAAGGCATGCTAATTCAGTCTTACAAATATTTCTTGAATCTTTTCCATTTTCCATTCACGTTGCCACAGCTCAAATTCTGATCCTTGTCTTCTGCTATTTGTATGACTACATATCCTCTGACTGGTCTTCTTTGAATCTGTCACTAGGCCACCAAAAAAAAGTAAAAATAGAAATCTGACCCTGATGTTCCCCAGCTTAAACACTTCAGTGAGGCCTTCCCTTTGACATAGGCTAAGGGCAGAGCCCTGTGATCTGACTTCTAATACTCTTTCTATACCTATTTCCCACAAACTCTTGCCTCTCAGTTCTTGCCCAGTCATACCTAGTTGCTTGTAGTTTCCTGGGTACTCTGCCCTTTCCGTGTTTTTGTTCTTTCTCTCTCTCTGCCTAATTATCTTTCCCTTCTATTTTGACTAATTCCTATTTATCCTTTACCCTGTTATCCTTTGTTTCCTGGATAGGTTAAGTGCACCCATAATATCAGTGACTAGCTCTGTTACTGTACATAGCATACTTTATTATAAATACTTGTTTACGAGCCCTTTTCTGTCACTAAGCTGTGTGTGCATATATTGTGTCTTGCTCACTTTTGTGTCTTCAGCACTTATCCCAGGGTATGGCACATAGTAAGTGCTCGGTAAATTTTGATTGGGTGACAAGAAAAATAGGTAGTCAGTTAAACCAACGGGAGCAGCAGACATAACCTGGTGTCAACTAACATAGGCAAAAGCTCCATCATAGATCCAGAGTATGGGAGGCCAACCAGGACAAAAAGGACTGAGGCCAGGAGAAGGGGACCAGGAAGTCAGGGATTTTAGGCAGAGGTTCTGAGCATCAAATGGCAGGAACCCAGGTAGCTGAATCCAAACAAGAGACTAGGGTGGAGAAGACACTTGAGAAGATAGACACAGGACACTGGCAGTAAAGACTGGAGTTTGCTGTTAAACCAAGAGACCTTTAGAGGCTGTTTGTCTGGAACCAGATCCGGTTTACAAGTGGGGCGGGCAGACCCTCAGGAGGAGGCCAAAGAGAAGATGTATTCTGCCAGGCAGTTCCTCACATGATCTGTGTAGTGCATAAGCCTGGCCCAGTGCTGTTTGGTGGACCTTGCCTTTTCGAGCAGCATTTCTTATAATGCTATCCAAACAAATGACTGAAGGGCTCTTGTCATTGTAAGTAAGTTGAATAGTCCCCTTCATGGTATGCAGCCTTGTATAGTATCCATGTTGAAGGAAATGTTAACTTATATTAAAATTTGAGAGCTGACTGAACAATTAAGTAGATGTTTTTGCGTTTAGTGCTCATAAAAGGCAGACATCCTTGCCCTTGTGTCATGCCTGAGTATGAGCACCAGCTATTGTTTTTCCCATAGAGATCAGGGCAGAGTTTTTACAACATTAATGGTAATGGGATATATGAGTGATTCTGCTCTGGGAAAGCTGGAGACTAGTTTAGTACTCTCTGTGGATTTTCTGGGCTTTTAATACACCCAGCCACCTACAGCAGAGCCTGGACGGGTTTGACTGTCTTCTTCAGACTAGAGGATGAGCTTTTGAGAAAGGGGTTTATTTAGTCTTCACATTTTGTGAATTGCCTTTTGCAGCGTATAATAAATGCTGCGAGTCCTGCTTGTACTTGGCAAACACTGGTTGAACTGAAGAATCAATTGTGTGTGCGTGTGCACACAGTGCTTATAGCTAGACCTCTAAGGAGGTCTTTCAAAGCCAAGATTTAGAGTTTGACTGTTACTTTATTAACTGTGGTTTAATGTCATCTCTAAAGTCTTGGAGCAGTTGCTGCCTCTGCTTAGAGAGAGACTTTTTCTTAGGCTGCCTGACCCATTTTATTTAAGAAAATGTTATTGAAATCTTTGTTTTTCCCTCAAGGTATTTGATGAGAGGGCAGCCAACTTTGAAAACCATTCAGGAAGGCTTGGTGCCACAGCAGAGAAGGCGGCTGCTGTTGGAACTGCTAATAAATCAACAGTGGAAGGCATTCAGGCATCAGTGAAGACTGCCCGAGAACTTACTCCCCAGGTTGGGTTCTGCTCACTCTTCATTTCAGTACTCATCATACGATATTCAGAAAAGAAAATTAATTATAGAAAAGTTTCTATATATGCAGTTTTAAACACTTACTATAAGATGGCATTTAAACAAACATACATACCCGTAGTGTCCAACTTAGTGATCTCTAGGGGATTATAGAGGACTTTCTACTTTATATATTTTCATCATGTTTGAATTTTTTTTTACAATGACCATATATTAGTTTTGAAAGTAGAAAAAACTAGTAAAGCAATCCCTCTGCATACACACACACACACACAAAATTAGGAAAGTATTTGGACACTATTAAGAGACTACTTTGTTTTTATTTTCGAGTTTTTATCTTTCTGTACATCTCTGAGTTTTTTTCTTTTCTTATTTTTTTGAGTTGGGTCTCACTCTGTCACCCAGGCTGGAGTGCAGTGGCACATTCACAGCCACCACAGCTTCCACCTGCTGGGCTCAGGTGATTCTTCTGCCTCAGCCTTCCAAGTAGCTGGAACTACAGGCACACGCCATTACACCTGGCTAATTTTTTGATTTATTGGAGAGAGGGGGGTCTCACCAAGCTGTCCAGGCTGGTCTTGAGCCCCTGGATTCAGACAATCCTCTTGCCTCGGCCTCCCAAAGTGCTGGGGTTACAGGCTTGAGCCACTGCACCCAGACTTTTTTCTTTTAAATAAAACTGTTTCCATAACTTATTTTCTTTTTTCTACTTAATTATATAACCAGCTGGGTGTGGTAGCTCACTCCTGTAATCTCATCACTTTGGGAGGTGGAGGCGAGTGGATTGCCTGAGCCAACAGTTCTCCAAGTGCTGTCACTGTCACTGACATTTTAGTACCTGTTGCACACGTTGCTTACATTTTCTGAGACTTGGCTTTTGCCATCTGTAAAGTGGAGATACTATCTGACCAGCTTCTCTCACAGGGTTATTGTGAGGATTCAGTAAGATGATGGCTATGAAAGCACTTTGTTAACTATAGACAGCTATTTTTATTAATGTTATTCATAAATTAGTTTTGAGTAATTTTTAGTATTTTCCTAATGATACTTTTTAGATGGAAGAATTGACATCAAGGGTTTAAATATATGCCAGTTTTGTGTATGTTCTTCTGACGTATCAAGTGAATACCAGTTTACCTCGTCCCTCTATTACCTTCTGAAAATCAAGCTGTGACGGTAAAACCTTCATGCAAAGGGGAGCTATTTGAGAGACCATACCTAAAGTGTTTAGCTTGAGAAGAGACTTGCCACTTTCTGGCTTTATAGTGCCATCTGTAGGTGAAGAGGAGAACACTTCACTGAAGGTCTGTATTGTAAGTGTGAAGGTGCTCTGATAGTCAAAGGTTCTTTTGTCATTGTCAGGTGGTCTCAGCTGCTCGAATCTTACTTAGGAACCCTGGAAATCAAGCTGCTTATGAACATTTTGAGACCATGAAGAACCAATGGATTGATAATGTTGAAAAAATGACAGGTAGAGTTTTGTATAAAGTTCTTGTTGTCTAGTCCATGAGGAATGAGTTCTGGGAAACTTGAGTGGGGCAGGTTATGTTACTCAGCTGTAATTGGATCAAGGAACTGTCATGTGCTCGACAGTGTACTTGGCCCTGATTAAGGCTGCTGAGCAGTGGCGGCTTCTCATTCAAGTCTTGCAACTTTGTCAGAAAAGAGACTCTTTGAGTCTTTTTTATTTTAATGCTGCCCTCCCGGTGTGATGTTTATTGTCACAGCTCCTATCTTCTTCTCTTTGAATAGTGTCCTTGCCCAGTCTGAGCCAGAGTTTGGTTTCAGAGGCTGGGAGGCGGTGTTTGTGGATACAGTAAGTGTCCCTGTCATTTTCAGTGGATTCGCATTTCAAGGAACCACAATAGCTACCATTTAATTCAGCTTGTCTCAGAGTTTCCTCCAACTTATCAACTACGTAGTGTTTTAAAAAAGGAGAAACCAACCACCAGCAAACCTGTGTCTGTGCAATTGAAGTGGCATCTCTGAATCTTCTTCCTTCTCTGTGGAGGGAGGGATAGGAGAGAAGGGAAGACGTGAAGAATGTAGGCTTTTCGCGGTCCCTGCCGAGCCTGCTGTGACTGGGGTCCACAGTAGCCAGAGATGAAAGTGGAGCTCCTGAGGTGTCTGAAGAGAGGTAACAGAAACAAGAAACAGGCTGTTAGGGTTACTGGAATCCTCTGAGTGGCTCATCTTGGGTACTACAAGCTGCCAACAAGCAGCAGATGGCTGGGGAGTGAGATGGGAAGGGAGAAAATGTTATTAACAGATAACGTGGTGGGGATGTGGTGATGGTTTCAGACGCATTCCTTGTTTCCTCCCAATGTTGCAATTCTGATTGTCTGTGGTGGATACAAGAAGGACAGTGACCGCGGTGGGTACAAATGCTGCAAATCTATATGACCTTCTGGTTATGTCCTCACTTTTTTTTTTTTAACTGTGGTATTCACCTGGAAGCTTTTGATTGTGTAGGAAGAACTTTGAGCTGAAGAAGAGAATGCTGGGTGTTGTACTTCCTCATGAGAAACTTGAGTAGACAACAGTGTTTGGAGTCTCTGTTCTTCTAAAATTGAAACTAAATTCCATTTCTGTTCTCCTAACAGGGCTGGTGGACGAAGCCATTGATACTAAATCTCTGTTGGATGCTTCTGAAGAAGCAATTAAAAAAGACCTGGACAAGTGTAAGGTAGCCATGGCCAACATTCAGCCTCAGATGCTAGTTGCTGGGGCAACCAGCATTGCTCGTCGGGCCAACCGGATCTTGCTGGTGGCTAAGAGGGAGGTGGAGAACTCTGAGGATCCCAAGTTCCGTGAGGCTGTGAAAGCTGCCTCTGATGAATTGAGCAAAACCATTTCCCCAATGGTGATGGATGCAAAGGCTGTGGCTGGAAACATTTCTGACCCTGGTAAGCAATGCATGGCACTATGACTCATTTCAGCTGAGAAGTTAAAGGTAGTGAGAGATTGTGTTACCCCCACAACCACCTCAGTCAAATACTGGGAATAAAAACTATGGACATTTAGTTTGAGAATGCTAGATAATCCTTTTCTAGTTGTTTTTTTTTTTTTTGAGTGGGAGTCTCACTTGGTCACCCAGGCTGGAGTGCAGTAGTAAACTCACAGCCACCTCAGCATCGTGTCGACCTGCTGGGCTCTGGTGATCCTTCTGCCTCAACCTTCCAAGTAGCCGGAACTGTGGGTATGCGCTACCATGCCTGGCAAATTTTTTATTTTATTGTAGAGACGAGGTCTTGCCAAGTTGCCTGACTGGTCTCGAACCTGCAGGCTCAGGCAATTCAGTTGCCTCACCCTCCCAAAGTGCTGGGATTACAGGCTGAGCCATTGAGCCCAGCTAGATAATCCTTTTCTATCCAACTGTCTGCAGTATTGGCAGGTTCGTTGTAAGTTAGTTTCTCTGCACCAGCTTCTCTGTGCTTTCTTAATGTTGTCTGGGTAAATACCTCCTTGCCTTGTTCAGTCATTATTTTGGAAAGTTTTCAAAAGATGCATGATAACAATTTTACCATTCATTTAGTTTATGTAACTGGCATTAACTTGTACTTTTTCTTAAAGTGCTTTTTTTCCTCTGTAAAGCGTTCTCTATTTCTGTCAGATTTGGAGGGCTTAAGTTGACCTTTGGGTCTCCTAGGTCCTACATTAAAAAATCTGGGCGAAATTTAGGTGAAATTTGATCATATTTTTGCTACTGCTAAAGCAGATTATAACTGGAGCCACACCTGTGGTTCAAGTCGTCTGAATTCCTTCCTGTTTTGACCATCGAATGCTTCTGTTTCATCTATGAGTAGAATCTAGTCAATGTGAGAGAGTGGAAATAAGGGACTGCCGTGTTCATCCCTGGCACAGGCAGAATCTTTATAATATACTCAACTCACTATCACTAAAGGCATGCTTGGTTTCTTAATTGGAGTTTCTAATAGTTTGAGTGGATTCCTGAATTCCAGGCAACTGAACAGAGTAGCGGCAGCTCAACATAAGGGTTAACATGCTGAGTGCCAAGTAGAGCAAAGGAGTAGAAAGATGAGAGGTACTCCAGGGAATGTATGTCCAATCTGAAACTGACATCGCCCATGTTCAGAGTTGGGCAGGCTTATCTCTTGATTGCTTCTTCATAAGACAGGCGATGGGTGCTACCTGAGCCCAAAGGGTTTACGCCCAGGAATCTCCTGCGTATTTGTTAGTTGTACAGCCAAGGAGCCACCCGAACACTAAAGGAACAGCTGGTTTGTGACAGTTCCAACTCTTTGCAAGCTTTAGGGCATCTGCCTTGCTCTACCTCTCTTTCCCTTCAATCACTGCCTATGATGCTTACTGGTAGCTTCACATCCAGCTTTTGGTAATGGAACCAGTTCTTCTGCTAGACAGTCAGTGCTTTGGGGCACTGACCTGCCCAGCTGAAAGTGAGGGTGTCTTGTGTTTAGGCTTGCAAAAGAGCTTCCTGGACTCAGGATATCGGATCCTGGGAGCTGTGGCCAAGGTCAGAGAAGCCTTCCAACCTCAGGAGCCTGACTTCCCGCCTCCTCCACCAGACCTTGAACAACTCCGAGTAAGTAAATTCAGAGATGGGGAGAATTGAGCAGTAAGGTGTTGGGACTGCAGCCAGAGGCAGGTAGCCTGTTTTAGAGCTTCAGTCACTAGGTGGTTTAGTTTAGCTTTTATTTGAAACTTAATGGGAGGCAGATTTTGATTTTCATTCCTAAATCCAGTGGAGTTATTACTTCATGCTAATGCATGGGTCAGTAGGTGTCTGTGGAGTGGCCTGCGATGATGGGGAGTGGCCGGAGCAGAGGAGCTGGCTTTGGAAAGTGTGGATGTGATGAGCAATGAGGTAGTGAGCTGTGCTGGAACAATCTGCACAGCTTGTGTGAGGATATTTCATTTCACCAGTTGATAATGGTGAAATGGAGGTGACTGAAATCTTGTGAAGGTTCTATCCTTATTTGCCTTTTTCTCTCTGAGTACCAAAAGTAACTTATGCTTTTTAATTTTTTTTCTCAACTATAATTTAAACTCTTTGAGTACCCCTCCCAGCACCATGACTATATTTTTCCACGGTGTAGGAAGAGGCTAGCTGGGTGATATGTTGCAGATAGAAATTCTAGAAATGGTGATAATTTTTATCCATTTACTCCAATAATTACTCCCATTAATTAGAAATACTTTAACCTTGGGAATAGCTTATCAAGGCAATAAATTGATTTACTCTTTGATTTGCTTTCCCACATTTAATGTCAGTAAAAGATGCTAAGTTTCCAAGTTGATTGAGAACAAAATTGGGTCATTTGTGCACATAGCTAAGGAACAGTACTTCCCAGTCTCCAACACTTTGATTCTTTCCAACTTGGTGAGTGGTTAGGCCTGGGAGACAGGAATATGCTTGGGGACTGGCTTCTGATGTGAGCAATAGAGTCATGACATTTAGAATCAGGATCTTAGAAGTCTAGCTACCCCTCACTGACAGTTGAGGAACCTAAGGCCAAGTGAAGAAGTTACTTGCCTATGTGCAGCTGTTCTTTGATAGAACTGGATGAGAACTTACATTTTCTGTGGGGATCTTTTGAGAATCCCTGATCCAATCGCGCTGTACTTGCCTCCCTGGGATATGACCAAAACAGTAGCTGCTAGCTTTCTGTGGACAAGGAAACAAAGAAAATACCCTTCTGTTGAGATTGAAGCAGGTGGTCTTCGTGGCTCAGTATGGGTGGTCTTATATGGAGTGAATGTGGGTGGCTTTTCTAGGGATGCTTTTTAGAGGAAAGGAAATAATTCTAGGGGAAAGTAGTTTCTAGGGATTTTCTTAAAAGCTGCTTATTCTCTTTTTTAGCTAACAGATGAGCTTGCTCCTCCCAAACCACCTCTGCCTGAGGGTGAGGTCCCTCCGCCCAGGCCCCCACCTCCAGAGGAGAAGGATGAAGAGTTCCCTGAGCAGAAAGCTGGGGAGGTGATTAACCAGCCAATGATGATGGCTGCCAGGCAGCTCCATGATGAAGCTCGCAAATGGTCCAGCAAGGTAAGTAATGAAGCTTTTCTTGAGAAAGGATGTCTTCTCAGGAAGGATAAAGAACCATGTGCACAGCCCAGAAAGAAGAGTCTATTTGGAGTCACCCCCTCTCTCTGCTTTCGTTCCTGTGTTGCTGATAGCATGTTCCTCTTCTTACCTGAGGTTTAGTGAAATGTTTCTGGTGCTTGATTTTTTTTCCTTCTAGCTGCAGAAGTGACAGCTAGGATGCCTGTGGTTTGAGAAGAAAGCTCCTTTCTTGTTTGTCCATTAGAGTGTCAGCTGCCCTGACCCTTAGCATTTGTCTTTTAGAAATTGCTTATCTTCCTTGGATTTGCTGTTTTTAGATACTGCATTACTAATTATCAGAGCTCCAAATATGAAACGGTCTTCTGTGGACTCTGCTACAACTGGATTCAATGCTTGCATTTTCTTTCTGTTTTTTCATAGAATAAGGTAGATTGATGCTTTAGAAGCCATGTGTTTTGTCCTTTCTCAGAATCATCTTGCCTCTAAACTCAAGACAACTCCAGGCTAATTCCAACTTAGCATTATCTGAAGGTGTAAATATTAATGTCATTGGTGAACATTTGGATGTTGCAGCATCATGCCCCATGAATAACTTTTGTCTGTTTTCTCCTAAATGGTGAAAAGTGAACGTTAGCTTTTCTAGATAAGAATAAAATGTTATTGCTAACCTTGCAATGAAATTTAGTTCTTAGTTCTAAACTGTTTTTAATATGACCCTAGATCTTTATTTCTACCATCTGTTTGCTTCTATTCCTTTCATATCCTCAAGACTTTCAAGCTCTATATTGGCTGTACTTCCTCAGGAGTCTTCTGCACCTACAGCTGATCTTGGATTTTTTCGGGTTGAGAAATTCACCTCGGTTTTTAACTCTCTGCTTTTCTGAATGGTTATCTGTGAACCCAGGTTCTAAGAAGAAATAGAGGTTTTGCCAGTGTTGGACTTGACCTGTGGAATTATTTATAATGGTATCTCTCCAACTGGGGCATGTACACCCCTGGGACCTTGTGGCAGAGTCCCGTTACGCATTAGGAGGGTGACAGTGAAGCTTGGCTTTACTAAAAAAAAAAAAAAATTTTTTTTCCCTAGAGGTGAGAAAGCAGGAGTTTATTAAGAAGACAAAAAAGCTCCCAAGTGTCCCACGCTTTGGGAGGCTGAGGTGACTGGATCGCCTGAGCCCGCGGATTCGAGACCCGCCTGGGCAACTTGGTGAGATCTCATCTCTACAATAAATAAAAAAATTAGCCGGACATGGCAGTGCGCGCCTGTCGTTCCGGCTACTTGGAAGGCTGAGGCGGAAGGATCACTAGAGCCCAGCAGGTCAAGGCTGCGGTGGCCGGGAGCAGCCACTGCACTCCAGCCTGGGCGATGGGACTCCAGCTCAAAAAAAAAAAAAAGCTCCCAAGTGGGAGGAGACCTGAAAGAGAGTTGCCTACTCAAATATTTAAAGGAATTTACAATTTTTGAGGACCCAGATACATTGTGCAGTGGAACACAAAATATACATAAATTATAAAGATAACACTTAAAAGGAGCAGATATATGTAGCACTGGGCTACATTATTTGCCCCGCTTGGCCATTTGTGGCCAGAAGTCCTTAGGTCTGTTTCCTGAGGTTTAACACAATCAGGGGTTTGCTGACTTTGAGTTGTAAGAAGTCAGGAGCTACTTGTACCAGGTGTGTGTTGGGTTAGGGGGAGGAATATGTATTTTTGTATCTGTCTTTGTTCAGTGTTGAACTCTGGACCCTAGTAGCAGCAAGCTGGCTTCTTCTCTAAGTAATAGATATGGGTCTTGGTTGAAATGGAGTTTAGGAAAGAGTTTAGATGGTACTTGAATCCTTGTAGGCCCTGAATCTTTTTTTTTTTTTGAACTGGAATCTCACTCTGTTGCCTAGGCTGGAGTGCAGTGGCACGCTCACGGCCACCCCGGTGTTGACCTGCTGGGCTCCGGTGATCCTTCTGCCTCAGCCTTCCAAGTAGCCGGAACTACAGGCGTGCACTACCACACCTGGCTAATTTTTATTTTTTATTTTAGAGATGAGGTCTCGCAAAGTTATCCAGGCTGTTCTCGAACCTGTGGGCTCAGGCAATCCCCTCACCTCAGCCTCCCAAAGTGGTGGGATTATAGACTTGAGCTACCACATTGGGCCCCACATGTTATTCTATTTGCAAACTAGATAAGTTGAGTTTGGGTTGAGTGAGAGCTTATTTTGTGATAAAAGAGATTAGGTTGTATCCAAGAAGCTTTCTGAGTTGGTACTAGCAATGGATGGCATAAGAGATTGTAGAAGCTTTGTCTCAGAAGAACTTGAGAGGCAGAAGGCTGGTCAGATGTGTGGGTTTTCCTGAACTGGGAGGCTGGATGAGGTGTGTGCTGGAGGCTCCTTACAGCTGGGTGATGGTGGGATACTTGATTCCTCTTTACTTACCAGTGTGTTTGTTTCCCTGCCTCTTTCCTAATTTGGTATTTGTTGCCTCTGATGTATCTATCAGTTTTAATTCTGGGGCTTTTAACTCATGAAGGAAATAATCTGTGCCTGGCAGCTGCAGAACTGACCCAAGTCACCTCTTGTTTCCCAGGAAAATGTAGAATAGTGTTCATTTTGTTTTAATCAAAACAACTTATGTGACTGCATTTACTTTTTCTCTCTGGATTTCTTTTAAAGGTAATTGGCTACTATTGTTTAGTTGTTTGGCACCTCAAAAATATTCTGAAGTGAGAATTACTTTTGTCAAGTTTAACTTTGGTAGTAAGTGTATTTAAAAAATGCTGACCGGGTTCGGTGGCTCAGCCTGTAATCCCGCGCCTTGGGAGGCTGAGGTGAGTGAATTGCCTGAGCCCGCGGGTTCGAGACCCGCCTGGGCAACTTGGCAAGACCTCATCTCTACAATAAATCAAAAATTAGCCAGGCGTGGTAGCGCATGCCTGTAGTTCCAGCTACTTGGAAGGCTGAGGTGGAAGGATCACTGGACCCCAGCAGGTCGAGGCTGTGGTGGCTGGGAGCGGCCATGGCACTTCGGTCTGGGCGACAGAGTGAGACTCCAACTCAGGACAAAAAAAAAAATGAATGCCACTTGCTTTCTTGATGTAAATATTTCTCTGGAAACCCTTTGCCATTGGAATGAGTCCCTTCACTCACCACAGGGTGACTTGGGCTCAGTGATGCTGGAGGCTGAGTGTTCTCCTTCCGTGGAGTGTGGTGCATCTGGCTCCTGGAGGGTATGCCATGTTCTTTCCCATCCTAGGCAAGCTTTGGTTACTAAACCAGCTGAAGCTCAGGTTCCCAAGTTTACTGCTCTCACTAACACTGTCCCTGTTTCTCATCCTTCCCGCCATCGACAAAGCCGGGTATCCCAGCCGCTGAGGTGGGTATAGGTGTTGTAGCTGAGGCAGATGCGGCTGATGCTGTTGGGTTCTCTGTCCCCCCTGACATGGAAGACGATTACGAACCTGAGCTGCTGTTAATGCCATCCAATCAGCCGGTCAACCAGCCCATTCTGGCCGCGGCTCAGTCCTTGCATCGGGAAGCTACCAAGTGGTCTAGTAAGGTACTGACTGGCACCCCTAGTTGGGGGCTGCTCCAAATGCATCCAGCCATGTGCAGCCTTGACACATTGCATCACTCATGATCTGTGCGGGTCCTGTGAGTCTGAGCAGGGCGGGTATCTGTTTGCACCATGTTGTGAGGACTGGCTTCACAAGTTTGATAGGTCTGCTAATGCCAGATTAATTGGATTGCATTTATGTTTGGGGGATGAAGAGGGATGGGGTCACTTTTCAAGAGGGTGCCTTTTCTTACTGACCTCGTGGCCACTGTTGGGATTTTAAGCCCTGAGAAGTCATGGATATGTCTCTCCATGACTTCCAGGTCAGGAACCACTGTAGCCCATTAGGAGGTCCACCTGGCCTGACCACTGAGCTTTTCTGCCCCCCTCCACCCCCACCTCCCCCAGTGACTCAGGTGGAGTTGAACAGAGTGAAAAGCAGCTATATAGCAGGGCCTGGTGGGGAGTTGGGGGTGAGGACTGCTTGCTGCTGCTGCTGCCCTGCACTTGGCTGTGTGGCAGATGCTGGCCTTGATGGTAGCCCACAGAGAAGGCGGCTTCACTGACTGCTTGTTCAGGTGTCAATGGGAGGTAGTAGAAGTGGGCATGGGAAACAGGGAGTGCTCAAGCCTGCAGTACAGGCAGCAATAGAGCTTTGGCCGTGAGGAATGAACTGAAGCTAGTTTGGGGAGGTAAGGGGATGGGAGTGATCACTTTCTTCCCTTCAAAGGTGGCATGTTGCAAGGAGAAAGGCTTTGAGGAGTGATGGGTAATAACTAACCATAGCACTATGCTGTCTTCTAACCAAGGTCATGAAATCCTGGAATGATCCTAGGTCTGATGATCCCCAGAGGGCCTTATCTAACATACCCCTTGCTTCATTACTTCTTATACCTGTGTTCTCTCTGGCGTCAATTATTGCCTCTGAGACGTTACACACTTTACAGTAGAAACGATTAGCCACTTCATGGTGCCTGTGGAAGTCTCTCACAGAGCACCCTGCAGTGGCATGGATTGTGTATGCTTCACTGCATTTCATATAGAAATTGAAAAGCATGGGGGGAAAAATGAGTTGGGCCTGGTCTTTTAGGCAGTTTTGAACTTTGCAGTTATTTTGGGTTATCAGCAAAAAGATGAGTCTTTTGAGGGCATAAAATAATAATTATTTTTTTACTATGACCCATGAGGGCTTTCGTAAAACCAAATTGCCAAATCTAAGGTAAACTGCCATTAAGTAGGGGTTCCATTTACAACCTGATTCATGACTTTTATTTTCCTGATGCCTCCCCTGGCATCCTCTTAGTTGAAGGTTCCTTTAACTGGAGGCTTCACTTAGCTGAGGGAACTGCATAATTGATTCTTTACCTTTTACATGTCAAAAATTAAAACAACATGTTCTTTCAGGCTGATGGGACAAACAAGAGGCAGTAGAGGGAGGGCCAGAGCAGTCTAGATCGGAAAACATCCTTTTTTTCCCCTCTCCCAGGCTGAGAATAGTTACTTGGGGTTTTAAATTCTAGTTCAGTAGTGAGTGTCCTGTTGTTTGCAATAGGATAAGGATGTAGAGGATGATTTCAGCATTTGGAAAGGCTCTTCTGTATTTTTCCCCTCAGGCATGCTCTACTGCTTTCTCCCTATAGAAATGAAAATGGATGTTTAACCAACTCCTTGGCCCTGTCCCCATTTTATTGACATGATTAACCTGGAGATGCTGACATGCTTGTTCAGTGCTGTGCCTGGGGCACACATGTTGCCCTTTCAGACTAATATACAAGTCTTCCTTTTTTTTTTCAGTCCGGAGATGTCTCTCTCTCTTCCCTCCCCTTTTTCTTTTCTGTCTCTTTCTTATTGAGTGCTGGGGTGTGTCTTGGCTCATTCTTCTCTTTTTTTCTCCAGTGCTATCCATATCACTCAAGAACGGTCCTTTTCTCCTCTTCTCATCCTTCCAGAACAGCAAGCTCCCTCCTCTCTTCTCTGTGCTTCTACTTCCTGCCTTAACTTGGTAGGTGTGTGGGCAGAGCTCACACTGTATTTCTGCTTCTCTCTAGGGCAATGACATCATTGCAGCAGCCAAGCGTATGGCTCTGCTGATGGCTGAGATGTCTCGGCTGGTAAGAGGGGGCAGTGGTACCAAACGGGCACTCATTCAGTGTGCCAAGGACATCGCCAAGGCCTCAGATGAGGTGACTCGGTTGGCCAAGGAGGTTGCCAAGCAGTGCACAGATAAACGGATTAGAACCAACCTCTTACAGGTACTCAGGAAAAGAGGCTGTGTGTGTTTGTG